CAGCTGATTTTCATGGCTAAGGCGGGACTAGAACTCGCAGTCTCCTGATGACTGGCCCAAACTAATATAGAGGTTTTCATCCCTAAGGTGGGACTAGAACTCACAGTCTCCTGGTGGTTGGCCCAAAGCCACGCAGAGGCTTTCATGGCTAAGGAAGCACTAGAATTCACAGTCTCCCGCTTCCGGTCCTGGTTCCTTAGCTATTAAAGGCCCAAGTGGCTAAGGTGGCTAAGTGGCTCTTCAAGCTTTAAATTTCCAGCTTCAGGAAACCACGCCCCATCCCATTCTCCGTCTGTAGGCGTATATGGCTGAAGTCATGTTCAATTCAGTTTTTAGAAGAACATCCTTTCAAAAGGCAACCGTGAGCCAACCGAACCTGCAAACCCTTCCAGAATCCCATGGTTTTCAGGAGAAAACAACGGATAGAGAGACTACCATTCCGTCTCTCTCTCCCTCTCCCTCCCTCCCTCCCTCTCTCTTTCTCTTTCTCTCTCTAATTCAAAACAAGCCTCACTAAATTAAACAAGCCGATTACTCCCAGTTCAGTGAGCACAGACTGAAACTGGGCTGAACAGCTGTCATCTCTCTCACTCAAGTCCTCCCATCCCAAAGTTCCCTCAGAGTTCTCTGCTGATGGCAGACTAGAAAAAGAAAAAAGAAAAATGAAAAAAGGTTTATTTAGACCAGGGGTTGTCCAACCTTGGCCACTTGCTGGCTGGGAAATTCTGGGAGTTGAAGTCCACAAAGTGGCCCACAGTTGAACACCCTTCCTATCTGTGTACAGGTAGTCCTTGACTTACGACCACAACAGAGCCCAAAATCTGTGTTGTTAGGTGAGGTATTTGTTAAGGGAGTACTGTCCCATTTTGCGACATGTCTTGCCACGGTTGTTAAGGGTGTCAGCCTTGGAAGCCATTTATTATACTTGGAAGCTTCGAGGCTGCCACATTCAGTGCTTGGGAATTTTGGAGGGGGGATTTCATAGTGGGGTAGAAGACTAGACACAACAACATTCTTTTCTCAGAGAGTCAAGGACATGTTGCCCTGCACCTGGAGAGGAGCGTCTGGAGGGATGCCTCTAGATAGGACGAAGATTTGATTGGGCCACGTGAAGGATGCAGGGGATGGATCTTTGATTTTCTTTTGGGAAGGGAACTCTCAGATTCGGGTTTTCCCAGATGTGCCAATAGGAAAAACTCTAATAAAATGGAACTTTGAGGAAACGCACGTCTCGGAGTCTCTTAGTTTGGAGTTGGTTAGTGGGAATGCTGACAAAGGGAATCGCTGCAATTGATAAATTAGCAACAGGGTTGTTAAGTGGATCCAGCTTCCCCCATGGACTTTGCTTGTCAAAAGGTCACAAAAAAGGATCACCTGGGGCGCTGCGACGGTCGTAAATATGAGCCAGTTGCCCAGCGTCTGAATTATGATTGCACCATCATGGGATTGCTGCAAGGGTCCGTAAAAGTGGGGGAAACGGTTGTGTCACTTTTCTCAGTGCCATTGTTAACTTCTGGCTGGTCACTAAATGAACTGTTGTAAGTCGAGAACTACCGTACCTGTAATTTGTTCTCACTTGTAAGGAAATGTCTCTTTAGTTCTAGGTTGGTTCTCTCTTTGATACGTTTCCAACCAAACGTTACCATTCTCTCTTTTTTTCTTTTCCTTTACAAATCCGGAAGGTTAACAATTCAAGCCTTGGAAAGATTGGGGGGGGGGGGGGGGGGGGGGGGGGTTGGGGAGAAAAAGCCAAAACATAAAAGTAAGCTGCTCTGAATTTGACTAGCATCCTAAAGCAAAGGAGGGAAATTAAGCGTGATCAAATCTGGAGCTCCTTCATAGAGACACAGAGGTATTTCGGTCCTGTGGCTTTCGGAGAGGGAGGGGGAAAAAAACAAAGGGGGCTTTTGACACGCAAAGAGGCTCTTTTCATTCCTCTTGTCTTTGCTGCTTTTGTGGAAAACAGCACAAAACCAACGGAATGAGGAAGCAGACTGAGATGGGAAGATCTATCCCCTAAAATCATTCCGCAGATTTTGTCCTTCGTTTGGCCTTGCACGGAGGATGCAAACACGAAGGCTGAAGGAAGCTGAATTCCAGAATGGGGAAAAAAAAAAAAAAAGATGAGCACAAGCAAACAAACTAGCAGTCTAGTGACGTGGTTGTTAAGTGAATCGGGTGACCCCATTTGACGTCGCTTTGTCAAAAGGTGAATCACACATGACTCTGGGACCCTACAACCGTCGTAAATCCATGTTTCCAAGTATCCAAATTGTAATCGTGTGACCGAGGGGATGCTGCAACAGTCATAAGTGTGAAAAAATGGTCACGTGTGAAAAAACGGTCATAGGTCATTTTCTTTCAGCGCCATTGTAACTTTAAACAGTCACTAAATGAATGGTTGTAAGTCAAGGACTGCCTTGTAGCCTACAGTTTTCTGCAGAATTACTCCCCCCAAGACCTGTTTGGAAGGACAACCCAGGAAATTAAGATTGTAGTTAAAATATTAAAACCATATGGAGTAAAGTTCATTTGTATTTCTCAGTGGTAAGTTTTTATTGCCATAAAGCCCTCTGCAATCTTATAAGTAAAAACTTCCCCATCTGAGAATATATACATACATACATACATACATACATACATACATACAGTCAAATGGGCTGTTGCCTTCAGGTGTGGCATCCCATTATGCCACAAGGTTTAAAAACTATAAACGAAACAGGGTCCAACTATTTCTGCAAAGGTCAGCTAGATCTGAATGCCCAAGATAAGACACCCCTATAGCTCTTTGATTGGAGAATTGGGTTCCTCAACACCAAGTCAGATGAACAAATTAACATTAAACCAGAGTCCAATCAAGGAACCACCAAGAGCACTTCCACCAACACTGATAGGCCAAGCCATTAGTATATAAACAGAGAGCAAACCCCACTCCCTTGTAGCACTGATGATGTTACCTAGTTGGGTCATGAAACATCTGCAAGAAAACCACCCAGCTCAAAGATCAGCAAGACCCTGCTGAGCTCTTCCTCCTCCTCCTCCTCTTCTCCCCAACCCCGCTCTCTTCCAGCACTGAAGATGTTCTCCAGTTGGGTCATGAGAAACATGTACAAGAAAGCCACCAAGCTCAGAGGACACCAAGGACCCTGCTGACCACTGCTACCAGCTCCTCCTCCTCTTTCTCCTCTTCTCCACAACCCCCCCTCCCTTCCAGCATTAATGATGTTCCCCAGTTGGGTCATGAGAAACGTCTACAAGAAAACCACCAAGCTCAGAGGACACCAAGGACCCCTCAAGTTCAACCCTGAGCTCAATCTAAACTGCTCTCATGGAAACCATCTGCCTGGAGGACGGAAAAATGTATATAAGCAGAAATGACCTGGTTTCTTTCTTCACTCTCCTCAGATTTCTTAGCTCCTTCTCAAAGTCCACTACAACAATCAATCAATCAATCAATCAACAAATAAATAAAGTTAGTCCTTGGGCTCTACAATTGAGCCCAAAATTTGAGACGCCTTTATTAAGTGAATGTTGCCCCATCTTTCTTGCCACCGTTATTAAGCGAATCACGGCAGTTGTTAAGTTAGGAACACAGTTGTGAAATAGAATCTGGCCTCCCTATCGCCTTGGCCGGACCGAAGGTCGCAAAAGGGGACTCCCATGACCCTGGGACATTGCAACCGTCATAAAGGTGAACCAGATGCCAAGCGTCTGAATTTTGATCCATGTGAGCCTGGGGGATGCTGCACCAGTCGTAAGAGTGAAAAATGGTGATAAGTCACTTTTTTTCAGTGCCGTTGTAACTCGGTACGGTCCCTAAATGAACCGTTGTAAAGTCGAAGACCCCTTGTAAATAACATGCTGTGGACATGCTAATAACATGCTATCTTTTCTGCAGGTGGGTGTAAAGTTTGGGGAGCATTATTTTAAACTAATGAAGGACGCGGGCCAGTGAAAATGAAAATTCCTCTTGCATAATGATCTCTCGATTCAATAGCTTTGTCTGGGCAAACAGGTCTGTTCTAAGGACCTGCTGGCTTTTCAATTACATATTTATTTTTTAAACAGGTTAACCTTTAAAAATCCTGCACGTAACACTCTTTTTTAAAAAAAAAAAAAAAAAGTGGACTGTTAGGGCTTACAGGTAATCCTCGACTTATGACCACAATCGAGCCCAATGTTACTGTTGCTAAGGGAGAAATTCATTAAGTGCGTTTTGCTCGGTTTTACGACTTTTCTCAACACCGTTGCTAAGTGAATCTTTACGGTTGTGAAGTGAATCTGGCTTCCCCGTTGACTTTGCTTGTCAGAAGGTCGCAAAAGGGGATCACACGGCCCTCGGGACAATGCGACAGTCGTAAATAGGAGTCAACTGCCAAGTGTCTGGATTTTGATTGTGTGACCAAGGATGCTGTAATGGTCATAAGTGTGATAAACCTTTTTCAGTTTTTCAGAACTGTCACTTTTTTCAGTGACTTCTGAAAAACTCTGAATGGTCACTAACGGGTGGTTATAAGTCGAGGACCACCTATGCTGCTTTTCCAACCAGTTTTAAGATGCTTTGGGGAAGCAAATAGGCAAACTATTCCATGAATAAATCGTTTGATTTATTGAATGTTGAAGAGCTTTGAATGATTCAAAGCAGATCTTAATTTTTTTTTATATAACTAAGCAGGCCATATCAAGCTTCAAAGTAAGGACTAAGGCTAAGAGGAAACAATCCACACATAAGGTAAAAAAAAATTAAGAAAAATTTAAATTTGAGAAAACATAATTAAAAATGGAAATATTCATGCCCCCGGTAAGCTCCATCATAGGCCATATTTAAGAAGGTTTTCTGCGGAGGAGAGGGGAGGGAAGGAAAGATATAAGGAAAGAAAGGAAAAGGAAAGGAAGGAAGAA